TGCGAGGCACCGCCAAGGACCGCCGCGAAGCCCTGCCCATTCCCTGGGCCCTCATCTCGGCTTGGGAATTTCACGTTTGCACCTCGGGGGCCCCGCTCACTACCAAGCTTATCTTGGGAGCTATTCTTTTAGCCGTGCACGGATGTCTCCGCTTTGGGGACCTGCAACGCATTGACTTCGAGTCTCTTTCCTTGGGCCGCACAGCCTTGCACGGAATTTGTTACGCAACGAAGACAACGGACAAGGGACAACCCTTTGCGGTGACATTGGCTGGCCTCACCGGCCGTAGCACCACAGCATCTTGCTGGGTCCTGCACTGGCTGCATGCCATGCGCACCGCCATTGACTACATGTGGAGCCCTGGCGACGTTGTTGATTTCGTTTGGCTCAGCACTGCCCCGGAACTGAACGCCATCCTGGAACTCAGCCCAGCTTCATACTGCACCGCCATGCTTGCCCTCCGTTGGGCGGCGACCTTGCCCTGGCTGCCGCCCGGCCAGGGGCTCACTGCCCACGAGGCAGCACAGCTCACTTTGCACAGCATGAAGTCGACCGGGCTCGCCTCGGCTGCACAGCTCAGACTTTGGAAAGAGCACCGTTTGACGCACGGTCATCATCGGGACTCTGCCGCACTGTACTCCCGAAACGACGTATTCGCGAGTCTCGATGTCCAGCACAGTCTCAGCGACTCTATGTGCACCGGGTGGCGGGCCGAGCGCAGCATCGCCCGCGGAGGACAGGCACCTATCCCGGAGCCCCGTTTGCACTGCCGCCCGGCCCTGTTCTACAAGAACTTCCCGCCCAGGATCTCTTGGACCCGCGCTGGGTCTTCTTTGTTACGAGGCATGAGCACCTGCATGCCGCGGCAGCGGCCTCAATCGAAACGGCCGCGGCGCCTCAGCCGACCAGCCCGGATGACATCGAGGACTGCACTCAAGACAAGGACGCTGCGGGGCATCAAGCTTCGGCCTCGCAACACGACATCGGGGACCCCATCGAAGACTTCACGGACGAAGAAGCAGCAATGGTTGCACGCGCCGCCGCGCTGCACACAGATGACACCAGCTCAGCCGAGTCATCCGTGTCCTCGGACCATAATCCGGAACGACGCGTGCCCCTCATCATAGACGGCGATCAGCGCTTCGCCTGCACAGGCCCCTGGGGCAAGTGGCACCGCGTAGCGATGCCCCAAGAAGGAGTTCCTTTACGCACCGCCTGCGGCATACGCCTCGGTGTCGCTGCTCAGTTCTCGGATCAGCCTCACGGTGTTACATGCAGACGCAAAGCGTGTGCATAGATCTCGCTCCGGACAGCCTCGCTCAGCCGAACTAGCAAAGTATGAACACCCAACTGCCCCGCCTCACAGCTCAGCCAAATTCTTCCTGCCGCTCAGGTCTTGCTGCCGCTCGTCCTCGCACAGTGCCCTCGGCCG